GATGAGCACATGGCTAGTTTGCGTGATGAATTCCTATCGAAAAGTGAAAGGGCATTGATGCAGTTGTATAATAAGAGGTTTGTGAGTTGGTTTCGTGATCGAGTGATGGGTAGAATGGATGAGAGTGTCACTGATACAGTAAGGTGGCTTGCTTATGGTCCTAGGGATGATGTTCGCTCATTTGAGGGATATGACATAAATGGGTACACTTTTTGGATTGAGCGTCAAGATTTTAAATCTTCCTCGACCCAAAAAAGTGGTGTAAATGCTTGTAGCATCATTAAGGGAGTTGTCATACTATGGTCGAATTCAAGAAATATGGGAGCTTGATTATTTTAACTTCACGGTTGCTCTTTTCCGGTGTAAGTTGGTTGATAATATCAGGCGTAACGTCAAATATGATGACTTTACTCTTGTAGACCTTGTCCATCTGAATGATAGTGTGAAACCATTCATCCTTGCATCTCAAGCTAAGCAAGTGTTTTACATAACTGACCCAGCCGATTCAAAATGGTCTATTGTGCTAGCCGGCAAAAGAAGAATCTTAGGCATTGGAGATGTCGAGGATGAGGAAGAATATGATGCGTTTTATGACTCGGCACCTTTCACTGTTCCTAGACCTGTTGTAACAAATGACATAGATGACCAAGCCAACTATATGCGATTAGACCACAACAAAGGAATCTTAGATAGAGGTATTATTTTTCAGCAATTTTGAAATTGTAGGCGTTGAAAGTATTATGGTTAGGTGAAATTGAATGAAAGTGTTAACTTACTTGCCCATTTTTCACATTTTCTTTTAAATGAATGAAGTAACTTTTAAAACATTTGAAATATGGAATAAAAACGACCTACACTTGCCCATTTTCTATGTTGATTTGTATTATAATTCAGCAATTTATATTTAATTATAACTTTACCTTAAAAATTTATTTATATTACAACTAATAACGTGTTATGTTTGTAATGGCAGGTGTTTACATCTCATGGTGGACGATCAGGACCGTATTTGTGTCGAGGATGTAGAGGATGATGATGATAATTCTCTGAGGATGAGGACGAGCTGTATGATGTGAAGAAGGAGACTGAGGTAGAAGATCAGGCTTAGGATGAGTTGGAACGTAGGCTTGATGACTTTGAAATTTCAGCTGAACGAGCGCCTCTTATCGATAATGCAGTTTCTAAGACGGTTGGTGAGAATCATACTTCCCACACTTAAAGCCAAGGAAAAAGTGGAGGGGGGTGAAGGCACCGGCTAAGAAAAAGGCGAGGGGTTCGACCACAATTTTCAAGAAACCCTTCGGTCCCATGGTACTGGAGTATGACAAGGTAGGCCAACCTACAGGCAAATGGCGTCGTCAATATGCTGTTCACGTTGGCATTTGTGCGCGCAAAATCCCCATTATTCTTGGTTGGCGGGAAGTATCTCCAGGATTAATTGACACATTTTGGAATGATACAAGGGCAAGTATTTTGTTTGCACATATACACAATTATAAAGACCTTCACTTTATTGTTATTTAACAGGGAAAACTAATAATCGCTTTTATTTGTGCTTGCAGAGTCTATTTAATATTAAAAATGATGCCGCCAAGTGAAGGGTGTTTAAATCTTTACTAGCGGAAAGATTCAGAGGCTTCAAGACCACCTTAGTTTGTGGGTGGATCAGAAAGACAGTTGTGAGAAAACCAAAGAACAAGAAAGGAGGTCGCAATGATGATGAAGTCATCGAGGAAGAGCAACTCCCATGGCAAAAATGGCCAAGTGTATCGAAGGATGATTGGGAAGCTTTCATTCTTCAAAAAAGTAAAAAGGAAGCAATTGTAAGTTTAAGTAATTCTGATGACAATTGTGATTTACTATTAACTCTTTTTTAAGTAATGATACTAACATGTCTAATTATGTAGGAACTGAGGGAGCGAAATTCCAAAAACGCATTGTAGAGGCAATACACCCATCGCATGGAGTGTAAGACATTTGGTGAATGGAGGGAAACGTAGGTCAAGGAGGGAGTATACCCCACTGCGCTTCTAGGGTCCTCCAAAGAACCCTCTGACTCCACGACCACTACGTTGGTGAGTCGTGCTGGCAATTTCATTTGTTCTCGGCATTCGCGTGACAAGAAAACCGGAAAATGGGTCATCAAGGCTCCGGAAACCAAAGAAAAGGCAGATAAACTCGTAAGCAAATATGAACTAGTGAACTTTATGAAGCTTTTGCATAAATATCACTTTACAAAAACATTAACTTGATGTTGCCTTTTCGTTTTTGCTACAGCTTGAGTACACTGAAGAACTAGTTGAAGGCAAGCTCGTCCCAACAGTAGAAAAGGACCCTTTCACCGTGGCTTTGGGAAAGCCCTACCATCCAGGAGGGGTATTAGGTGCGGGAGGGACCTTGCTAGGATGGGAAAAGGTGATGGGTCAAGAATATACCAAATTAGGAAGATCCCGAGCAAGTGTGAACTCCCCACATGACTTGGATGCCACGGTGGCATCAATCAAGGAACAAGTGTGCAACGAGATGCGAAGAATTCAATGCTTGGGCGAAGCAAATGAACTTGCCGGGCTTGCCTTTCCCCTCGACTACACCGGTGGACTTATGTAGTCACCCACAAAGACAAGGAGATGATGAGATACATGGAGACGATGATGAGATACATGAGGTAGTCTCATATCCATTAGTTTTTTCATATTGAGTTACGTGAGATCTAAGGTGGCATTATTAATTTACTATTGCAGGTTGGTACTCCTACACATGCGGACTCGAGGGAGCTTCATAATCCAACACCTCATGAATTTCCAGATTTACAAGTGATTTGTTTAGTTCTATGTAAATGTTCTCGGTTATATTGGAGGTGTTTGAGAGAGTGACCATTGTATTACTTGCATAACGATTGATCGGGAAAGGAGATGTCTGAGGTGATAATATTAATTCTGTCAAGTTTCTGTGCTGCTTCTGTCTGCGTTTTCTGTGCTGTTTCTATGCTGCTTCGGTCTCACCGCTGTGTCTATGCTGCTTCTGTCTCACTACTGTTCCTATGCTTTCTGCCTGCTGCTATCTGCTTGTTGTCTACCTGCTGTCATGCTTGCTGTTTCCGTGCTGTCATGCTGTCATGCGGCTATCTGCCTGCTGCCTGCCTGTTGTTTGTCTTTTGCCTGCCAGCTGTCTGCTTGTTGCATGCTTGATGTCTGCCTGCTGTTTTCCTGTTATTTTCGTGCTGCTGTTGTCTGTGGATTTGTGTGTTGCTGTTTTTGTGGCTGTTTGTGTTGCTGTGTGTGACTGTGTGTGTTGTTGTTCTTTGTGGCTGTGTGTGTTGCTGTGTGTTGTTGTGTGTGTTGCTGTGTGTGTTGTTGTACGGACGTTTTCGGTAATGAAATTTCTTCTTCTAAATTGGTGTAGGAAGAGACCCATTGTGTACTTCTACACCCGGGGCTATTAAACAATGGAGCTTTGGAGTTGGTTGCGTATGGTAGTGCACAACAGACCTGTGGTATGGTCCATTTACGACCGCTTAGGCCACAACATTACTCGGTCGGGATCAATTTTGTGATTGCGGGGTTCGAGTACATCCTAGTACCGGTGCCTGTAGAGGAGGATGGGATTAGTACACTCTGGGAAGCAAAAGGTAGATTTATGCAATGGCCATGTGCTTGGGTAAGGTTGATCAACGAGGTAAGATTTTTGGTTCACTCTTTACTTTATGCCCAGTTGTCTTCCCAAGAGTTGGATGGATTGATTTTCTAACCAATTGCATGATTTGCTTTATCAGATTTCAAAGAAATGCCAAACTTCAAAGAGAAGGAGGGTCAAGCAGCCTAAAAGCATTGATCAACCTGTGGCAAAGAAGAGGAGTGAACAACGGTCATAAAGTGAAAAAGCGTTGAAGAAGAACTCTTCGAGAGGTTTAGGTATGCAAGCCACTCCACTTGTTGCAGACACGGTCCTTCAATTTCTCTCTAATGATTTAACTTATCTACACTACCGTGTTTGTATGTTGCCTAGTGACACTCCCGTTCAAGATGCACTACCCAAGGCATTGTTCCACTATGATGACGATGCAACTGCATGGCTCAACAAAGAAGATGTGAAGGAATTTCTAAGTGGTTCAATGCTTAACATTTCCCTCATTCAAACATTCATGAAATAATTCAATGCCGCTCAAATTATGTTATTCAGATTAGTGGTGATTGTCGTTTATATTTCTATTAATATTCTATTATCATGCATGCAGAGCACTACAGGAGCACTTACGTGACGTTGATTCTCTGTGTCAAGTAAGGTCCCCGAGCAGATCTCCACTAAGAGAATCTTAGGCTACCACCCTGACGTGTTGTACTATGTTGAACGGAGTATCAAGGAATTAGTGCGTGCGGGAGACAAGTTCGTATTCGCCCCATGTTATGAGGAGTACGTCTATTCATGTCAAATTCATTTGTTTCCCCTGCTTATAGGTTGTACATGGCTAATTATTGATTTGTTTGTCTATTGTGAATTTGTTTATTTTGGATTGGACCCTGCTGGTGACTTGTGTTTCCAGTAAAACAATATTCCTTTTTAATTCAGCTTGATTGCCTCATCCAAAAAGGCTCTTGGTGAATTCCATACTGCAAAAGTAAATAAAGCTATCCTAGTGTTGATTATCATTACCTTACTCATTTATTAGGCATACTAATCAAATTTGAACTTACTTTTCTGTAGCTTGGAGGCAACCACCACCCGGATTTGCTCACCAAACCCAACAATGGAATCAACAAGCTCAACAGCCATACAACTCCAACCCCCAATACCAAAACCCACCTCCATTTTAAACCCTAAACCCAAGAGGAAACTACCCAAGAAACAACCAACACAATAATCAAAACCAATACCACAATAAAAATCATGCGGCTCAAAGGAGTCAAGAGCAAGCATCTTAACCCAATTATACTCAAACCAAAATTCTTCAACAACTTCAAGTCATGAATCAACAAATGCAAGAGGTCAAGGCTCATAACGTGATGGTTGATTCACAACTAGCTCAATTGGCCGAGAGAGTTCCTTTCAACTCACCTTCTACTCTACCCAGACAATCACAAACTAACCCTTCTAACATTGTGAAACCCGACTCTTGCAAGGCAATCACATTGAGATCGGGTATGTCCTATGAGAGTCCCAAGAAAGAGGATAGTGAGGAAAAGCAGGAAAGAGAACAGAGTGTGAGTGAAGACAAGGAAGTTGAAGAAGAGAAAGTTGTTGAGAAAGAGAGAAGTATGGAGAAAAAGAAGTCAGAAGATGTGGTGACATCTTCAACTCTTAGTGAGGCTAGGAATCTTGATGGACTAGTTCCCTTTCCTGGTCGACTTACGGAAAGGATGTTAAATGACAAATTTGCAAAGTTCCTTAGTGTGATGAAGAACTTTCACATAAACCTCCCTTTCATTGAAGTTGTCACACAAATGCCTTCATACTCCAAGTTATTAAAAGACAATCTCACCAACAAGAGGAAGCTTAATGATGAGCTTATCACTCTCCCCCATCAAGTGAGGGCACTTGTTCAACATAAGATGCCCAAGAAGCAAAAGGATCCAGGAAGTTTCACTTTGCCGGTAAAGATTGGGAACATGGAAGCTAGGGGTGCCTTGGCCGATCTTGGAGCAAGTGTTAGTTTGATCCCTCTATCCATTGCTCAAAAGCTTAATATTGAAATGATCCCACAAGAATAACTATCCGATTAGTTGACCGTTCGGTGAAGCTACCTTGTGGTGAGCTTGATGATGTCCCTATTCAAGGTGGGCATATTTATGTGCCTTGTGATTTTGTAGTGATTGATATGGAGGAAGATGTTGATACTCCTTTGATTTTGGGTCGTGAAGCTCTCAAGACTTTGGGGGCGGTTATTAATTGCAAGAACAACATCATTAATTGTGAGGTAGCCAATCAAAAGATTGTTTTTGAGTTCTCTAAGCTACTCAAGACTTCCATGGTTGAGAAGTTCTATAGGGGTGATGTTGTTAATGAAGAGTAAGATCGCTTGGGAAGGGTTATGATGAGTCCTCAAGATCCAATGGTTGAAGCTCTTACGTGCAAGGAAGAGTACCACTCTCAAGAAGCAAAAGAGTTTGTCATGGCCATTGAAGAAGCTAAAAAGGAGGAAGAGAATGATCCTAGGGATGATGAGCTCGAGCTAGCGGAGGAGAAATTGGAGAAGAGTTCCAAGCCTCCTCCTAAGGTAGAACTCAAACCCTTTCCCCCCTATTTGAAATATGCTTATCTTGGAAATGAAGGGGAATACCCTATTATTGTCAATGCTACCCATGATGGTCTTGATTTGGATAAATTGCTTGATGTGTTGAGAAAATATAGAGATGTGATAGGGTATAGCATTGATGATATCAAGGGTATTAGACCTTCTTTGTGCATGCATCGTATTCACCTTGAGGATGATCAATCCAAGAGGTTATCAAGAAAGAAATCTTGAAATTGCGTGAAGCGGGCATAATCTATGCTATCTCTGATAGCAAGTGGGTTAGCCCGGTGCACGTGGTTCCAAAGAAAGGTGGAATGACCATCGTTAAGGGAGAAGGAGGATAGGAAATCTCCACTCGGACGGTGACCGGGTGGAGAATGTGCATTGATTATAGGAGGTTAAACAAAATTACAAAGAAAGACCATTTTCCTCTCCCCTTCATGGACCAAATGTTGGAGAGACTCTCCCATCATGCTTTCTTTTGCTTTTTGGATGGATACTCCGGGTTATTCCAAATCCCTATCGATCCAAATGATCAAGAGAAAACTACTTTCACAAGTCCATATTGAAAATTCGCATACCGAAGAATGCCATTCAAGTTATGCAATCCTCCTTCAACTTTCCAACGATGCATGACTTCCATTTTTTCTGAAATTCTTGAAAATGAAATTGAGGTTTTGATGGACGATTTTAGTGTTGGTGGCTCGTCTTTTGAAAGATATCTTTTTAATCTTGAAAAGTTTTGAAAAGGTGTCAAGAGGCGAGCTTGGTTTTAAATTGGTAGAAATGCCATTTTATGGTTGAGGAAGCTATTGTCCTAGGCCATAAAGTATCAAAAAAGGGCATTGAAATTGATTCGTCCAAGGTTTTGGTGATTGCAAAGTTGCCCCCTCCTACTTCCGTTACGGGAGTGAGGGCCTTTCTAGGGCATGGCGGTTTTTACCGGAGGTTTATCAAAAATTTTCCATCAATCGCCAAACCTTTGACCGAATTACTCAAGAAAGATGTTGCGTTTAACTTTGATGAGGCTTGTCTTGAGGCATTTCAAAAACTCAAGGAAGCTCTCATTTCCTCTCCAGTTGTGCAAGCTCCGTATTGGAGATTGCCTTTTGAGCTAATGTGTGATGCAGATTTTGCAGTAGGTGCGGTGCTTGGGCAAAAGAAAGAAGGAAGATCTCATGTCATCTAATATGCAAGTAGAACACTTGATGAGTCTCAAAAGAACTATACAACAACGGAGAAGGAAATGCTTGCGGTTATGTTTTCCATGGACAAATTTTGGTCCTACCTAATATGCTCCAAAGTGATTGTGTACACGGACCATATAGCGGAAGCTAAGTCACGCCTCATTCGCTGGGTTCTTTCGCTCCAAGATTTTGACATGGAGATGAGAGATAAAAAGGGAGCGGAGAACTTTGTGGCGGATCATTTGTCTAGGCCTCTTTTTGAGAACAAGGAGGATGTGCTAATCAATTAAGAATTAGGATTCGAAACTCTCATGGCTATGGCTTTAACATTTAGCCCGTGGTATGCGGATATAGCCAATTATCTTGCTTGCGGGGTCATTCCCCCGGAGTTTTCTTCTCAATTAAAGAAAAGGTTTTTCAAGGAAGTGAGGAGGTACTTTTGGAATGACCCCTACTTGTTAAGCAGTGTGGAGATGGCCTCTTCTGGAAATGTGTTCCGGACCATGATATCGAAGGAGTTCTTAAGCATTGCACTCATTACTGTGAGGAGGACATGGAGGAGTTGATAAGACGGTGGCAAAGATTTTTCAATCTCTCCTATGATGGCCTACGATGCATAAGGATGCCCATAAGTTCGTTTCAAGATGTGACAAATGCCAAAGAAATGGTGGCATAACCAAAAGGGATGAGATGCCTCAACAAAACATTTTAGAAGTGGAGCCATTTGATGTTTGGGGTGTCGACTTTATGGGGCCTTTTGTCTCTTCATGTGGGAATTTGTATATCTTGGTAGCGGTGGATTATGTGACTAAGTGGATTGAAGCTATACCCTCCCCTACCAATGATCATAAGGTTGTGCTTAAGCTTCTGAAGACAATCATATTTCCGCGGTTCGGGGTTCCTAGGGTGCTAATCAGTGATGGAGGTTCTCATTTCGCCAAGAAGTAATTCGAAGCTCTTCTTAAGAGATATGGGGTTCATCACAAAGTTGGTCTACCTTACCACCCTCAAACCCAAGGGCAAGTGGAGGTTTCAAATAGAGAGATCAAGAACCTTCTCGAAACAATGGTGAACAAATCTAAGAAGGATTGGTCCCTCTAGCTTGACGACATACTTTGGGCCTTGCGGACGGCATACAAGACTCCCAACAGTACAACCCCCTATCGGTTAGTCTATGTGAAGGCTTGTCATTTGCTGGTTGAGTTGGAGTACAAAGCTTGGTGGGCAAATTAAGGAGCTAAACATTGATATGTCATTGGCCAGTGAAAAGAGATTGCTCAAGCTCAACGAACTTGAGGAGCTTAGGTATGATGCCTATGAGAACTTGAGACTATACAAGGAGAAAACTAAGAAATGGCCATGGCACGACCAACATATAAGGAACAAGAGCTTCAAGGTTTGAGATAAGGTGTTTTTATTCAACTCTAGGCTCAGTTTGTTTCCCGGAAAGCTCAAGTCCAATTGGTCGGGACCTTTCGTGATTTCAAGGATTAATCCTTATGGGTCTTTTGAGTTGGAGGTGGGAGACAACAAGTTCATGGTTAATGGTCCTCGTTTGAAGAACTACTTTTGCAAGGAGGAAGTAGGCTTGATAGAATGTATGAGGCTTGATTCATTGGATCCTAAGCCACCTCTTAGATGATGGTTTATCATGGTTAAGCTAGTGACCTCATAAAGAAGCTCTTCTCGGGAGGCAACCCGTGTTCTCAAACTCTTTTGGTCTTTTATTTCTTGTATTTAATCAATTTCGGTTGATTTCTCTCTAGACTCTTATTGCGTGCTTTTTGTTCTTCTTTTGTAGGTACTTGAATCTTTGGGCATTTGGTCTACAAATTTCAGAACGAAGGTGTAAAGGGGGAGTTATAGATTGAAAGAGAAGGTTGCAATTGGATTTCAGATCTCAAGTCTTAAGGGGTTATTTATGTTTATGAAGATGCCCTGGAGATGCCCAAGAGAGGGCTCTCTAAGAAGACCCGTGGGCGCGGGCAGGGTTCTTAAGCCCCTTTACTGGCATTCTGGAGATGCTTTGGAGATGCCTGGGAGAGGGCTCTCCATGAAGACCCGTGGGCGCGGACAGGTAAACCCGCGGGTGCGGCCTGATATTCTTCAGAAAAATTCAGAAAGTGGAGATGCCCAGGACAGGGTGCGGCACTTAGACCCGCGGGCGCGGCGATCTTGTCGTGCGGATTTTCACCTTTTTCCTCAGCATTTCGGAATTTTTTTTTTCCCCAATCTGATATTTTCTCCTTCTCTCTCTCTAAACCTTCAATCCTCTTCAAACCCTAACTCCTTCCACCTTGAATTATCATCAATATTCATCAAATTTCTCACTTTCCTTCAAGTTTTCTCATAAATATCTGAAATTTCACCATTCAAGACCCCCATTTTCGGTGTTCTTCTTCGAACGGCTCTAGCATATCCACCATTGAAGGGACCTTGACGGTGGCTTGGAATTCTTCTTCAAAGAACTAGTTGGAGTAGTTTTTGGCAATCATTATTGGTATATCTCTTTTCCACTCTAGTTTTCCTTTGAATTTGAAGTATTTCCTTTGGTGAGAAAATTTTTGAATTGTGAATTTTAAATGGAAATTTTGATGTTTGCATGCCTAATTTTTGTTGGTTCATCTAATTGAGCATTGTTGATTTTTGATTTCTTGTTGACCTTGTTAATTGTTGTAGAGTTGTATTGCTTGGTTGGTATTGCTTGGTGATTCCGAAAATGCGCTCATTGTGTTGGAATATTGAAGTGAGGGATTTGTTGTTGTGATTTGTGTGGTGTTGATTGAAATTTGGTGTTGATAAAATGGTGTTTGGTTCAAAGAAGATAAAAAGTGGGAAGGAAACCCAAGGGTCAACATCCGAAAACCCCCAACCAAATGAACAACCTACTCCACCACCTTTGCCACCCCTCAAATTCCACAATAAAAATCACAAATCCATCTACGACAATTTGCAGAACCGGAAATTTAGACCTACAAAAAACTACCACCAACCCTCTACAACAAAGCTTGGCATAAACTACGATTGTTGGTTCCTATTCAACAATCTTAAGTTAGGCTCATTTGTGACTAGTGCCTACCGGACCTATAAGGAGCCCACTCTTGAGTTCCTTGCCAACTTTGAGTGTCATGCCGCGGGGGATAAGGACCTCGCCATCTCCTTTCAACTCTTCAACAAAAAGGAAACTGTTAACGTTCGCCAATTTAACCAACTATTAGACCTTAACCCAGACGCCAACATGTTCTTCCCCGAGCACGAAGTGTTTCGTGATTATAATCCCCTTTGGTGGTGGAAAGTCATCTCAAGGATGGACGCCTTCAATGCCAAGTATTCCTTGGCCAGTCAAATCATGCACTCAGCCATCAGACTTCTACATCGAATTCTCAGGTACATGGTTTTTAATAAACAGGACTTGGGAAAGATCACAGCGGAGGAAATCCGAATTTTGTGGCTAGCTACACAGCCAGAGTTGGGGCATAGATTGAATTTCAATTTCCTATTCACCAAGTGCATTGAAGGAGTTCTCTTAGGTACAAGGAAAGGGGAGATACATTTCGGTGGGATGATCACCCGGTTGGCTGAGAAATTGGG